TCCTTCAATTTCAAGATTTTTTTGCCTATAGATATTATATAGTGTTCTTGTAGAAATCTTTTAACGATTTGTGTTCCTTTCTCTTCTTTTAAAAGTTATGAATAGTTTTGTATTTCTCCAATAGCGCATAGTATATAATATTTTAAAAAATACATCAACCTATTCAAATACAAACTGAAAGGTAACAAATTAGTTTTCTAGTCGTGTTCAATATGTATAACATTCAAAGAAGTTTCAATCATTTAGTTTTTCTTTCTTGTCAAGTTATAGAAATTTGTTTTCTGACAAATAACCATACAAAACCAAGTTGTCCTACATAACAAGGTCCATTTTTACTCTTGTTGATTGTATGCATGTGTAAGAATGATTTTTCGTATCCTTATGAGATAGGTGAGATTAACATTTGAATCTTTTATTAAAATAGGTATGAAGAAGAAGATTCAATAACAAAACAAAAAATAGAAGGACGGAATCTCATAGGTCAAAGTGCACAACAGATTATAATACATGATGACGAAAAAGAAAATATCTGTTAGAGAAGAAATAACCAATGATATGTGTTCTAGATAAAGTTGGAAATAAACTATACATATGCATCACATATGATAGAGAAGAAGATCAATAAAAAAAACTCCAACAATAAGAAATATTTTTTTATATGAAGCAGTATACTATTATCTTGTTTTCCTTTCAAAAACGAAATTCTATAACTTGATAACGAAGAAAAAAAAGAAGATGATTGAAATTTCAGTGAATATATAATATATGCTGAATAACATCAGAGTAAAGTAATTTGTTAACTTTCAGTGTTTGTATTTCGATTGACTGACATATATTTGCTAAAACATTGTATCCTATGCAGAGAATAGAGTTAAAATAAAAATATTCATAACTTTTGAACGAAGAGATAGGAACTTTCATCTTTTAAGCGTTCATACTAGAGCATTATATACTATTTGTGGAGAAAAAAATCATTGAAAACAGAAGGAGTCATCTAGAGAGATTCCATTGTAAATGAAAAGATTTTTACAAAACCTTTCAATTGAACAAAATATAGAAGTAATAGTTTCCAATAGTGACTTTAGCAAGATAAATGATTAAGCAATTTTCGATGGATTCCATTTGCTCAGTACGAATAATAATAATTGATAAAATGGTTGTAGACAACGATTAATGTCGAATGTGCAATCATCAGAGAGTTCTTCAAATGTTGTTCTTTGTTGGATGCGAATCATCTTTATTCTAATGATGATCATGTTAATAGTGATTGTTCTTGTTACCGGTATTTTCTATGGTGTTGATCTGTTTGCTCAAGGTGCTTGTCGAACAGGTCATGATGATCAATCATTTCTTGTTTCATTTTTCATTGGTAAAAATATATTTGCTCGTTTTAATCAATGAATTATATTCAATTTGAATTAGATAAACTACTTGGAAATAATTCGAATGACTTCATTATTGGTGAACTAGATGTACAATCCGTATTCACAAATATTATCAATGACTGTCGGAATCGAACACATTTTAGTGAATATTTTTTTAAAAATCATTTAATTCATTTGGAAAATGATACGCATCATGCAATGAATCAATTAAATGAAGAAATCTTTTATAAATTCAATGAATCAATTGACTCAATTGATATTAAATCTGATCTCGAGCGTCTTGATGATTTGTCTGTTAAAGTCAATTCAACTAAAATCGAAGACAAAATACAACCGATTAGAAACGATTGGACAAAAATTCAGACACAATTCGAAAAGATATCTTCTAGAGTTCCACTGTTATCGACTAGTATAGTTAATCAAACAATCGGTGATGTTAGTTTTAGAAAATTCTATGAACAATGACTCGGAATAAATTTGTTTTATTGTTATTTTTAGTTCACAAGCTATTTGACAACGGTACTCGAATCAACAGTTGATGCATGTCCTCTACCATTAACTATAATATACAAGGCAGACACATTGGTATGCCATAATTTTGCTACATCAATTAATGGTATTTGGTTCAGTCTCTTCCTCTATATGTTTTTCATCATTTGTGGTCTTTGTATTTTCGGTCTTTGTATTTATAAACGATTGTAATCATCTCTATGTAAACTGCATGTTTTTTGTCAAAAGGATGTGGGTGTGGGTGTTAACATGAATCTTATCGCTAATCACACCCACACCCACAGTGGACTTTTCCTTTTTCAATATAATCAACACAAAATGGATCTGTTTTTTAATGCAGAGAAAAAGAATAAATGACAGCTGAAGAAGTAGAGAGATATAGACTGAAATAACATAATAAATAAAAAAGAAGAAGAGTATGAGAGTGGATGTGGGTGTGTGCCTTTAATACACCTACACCCCGCACCCACACCCCATCCAACTGGTCCACTTAGTCAACGAATTATTGAAGTAAATTTTCATGTATGAGGCAATACTGTCGATTCGACAGTAGCCATTCATCATGATATCTACTGACAATATGATACGTATACATCGTTTAGTAGTTAAAGCTATCGTTCAACAATTGCAACACATGGAAGAAAATGGAGAGACAATATGAGCATCTTGTCATGAACGAAGACTTTATAATTATGGAATAGGAGCGCATTAGGTTGATGGTTGGACCATTTTTCATTACTATTCGATTATAGTCTACTATGCGTAAAACTTCACCAAAAAATTTTTTGATAACAAAATATAGTCACGAGTGTTCTAGAGTATCTTTGGGTAAAATTACAAACGTTCGCCGTTGAATGGGTCATAATAGATTTCATGTAACAATTCACTTTACATTCCATTTTTACAGTGATTATCTATTTAGTCGTTGAAATAAAATTCAATCAAAAATAAACAGACAATGATGATGTAAAATCAGTCTTTATGAATCATCTTTATGACGAAAGGTGTCTTTCGTAATAATGCAATAAATGTTATATACGGAACAAATATACTTATCTTCGTCATACTTTCGAGTTGTATCAGTGACATGGAAGTAGAATCCAGGCTTACATAATATTAAGATAATCAGCTTTATATATAAGCACTTCACAGGCATGCAGATTTTGTTGTTTTCAAATTGTGTTATGCATTAATTTCACTTTATTTTACCACGAATTATTGTAATGAGCAGATTGATGACTCTTCGATTTTTGACTGCACTACCAGCTTTTAGAAGTTGTTTATTCTATTCTGTGTCATCCGTCTCAAAAGTTGTTGAGAAGTTTGATCAAGACAAGACGAATATTGAAATTCGTCCATGTCACACACATCAAGAGTTGGATGAATATGTACGTCTGCATCAATATATCTAGAATTTTAATGATCTTGATGTCGTACCACGTCGAGCATTTCTCGTCACTAACCAAATTGGCGGCGTGGTGTTGGGTGCATTTGCATCTTACAATACACAATCGAGGTTTATTGACATAGTGTGGGATTTACCAGGTGTTTATGACAGGACAGATCTGTATGTTTATATGCATGCCGAGATTATTGCAATTCACACTGACGTACAAAACTCTGGAATACGTCAACGATTGTGTTTAGCATTGCGCGACTATGGACTCTCGCAAAATATCAATGTAATGAGGGGTACCTTCGATCCGACCCACATAAAATTGGCTCATACGTACATTCATCGTTTGGGTATGATTGCGCGGCGCTATATTCTTGATTATTATGGCCTGTCGTTATCTTCACTTCATAATAAACTTCCAACCGATCGACTTTATCTTGAATGGTGGTTTGATTCGCCACACATATATCAAAAATCGGAAGTAGGTACAGGTCACGATCCATTGTCTTGTTACCGAAGTTATACTGATGAAGTGCATATTCCAGCGGAAATAGCCGAATGAAAGCACATAGGAGATGCATATGCTATTAAAGTGCAAAGAGATATTCGCGAAAGACTTACAAAAAATTTTGAAATAGATCTCGCCATTGTTGGGTTCCACGGTAAACCAGATGGTACTGGTATTTATCACCTTGGGCACAATGAGTGCATTCGAAATAATAAATGAATTTAAAGTTCCTTTTAAACAATAAACGTTCCAAAACCGTCTTCATTTCAGAGACGCTAGTTAAAGAGTTAAAAAGGATCTTCTTCATAAAAATAGTGTTAACAAGACCAACGACACAAAAAGCAAAACACATCATGAACTGATTTTTGTTGTTGACAGACGTGGAAAAATATTATCAACCAAACATAGGCATATTCCAGATATTAATCAAAATATTGGTAGATTTCTTTCTGGAAAAGAAGAATTAAAAGTAACATCGGATATGTCTGGATGGGTGTGGGTGTAAGGAAAAGCGACCTGCACACACACCCACACGCATCCACACCCCCACCCCCACACCCAATTTGTAGCGCAGAACTAAGAGACAAAAAAACAATTCTCAAATGAAATGCCATTTTCACATGTGAATAATCAATCGAAATAAAAAAGAAAAAATAATGTTGAGAGAGAATTTGAACAATTTGATACGATGAAATCAATTCAGTGGAATAAAATAGAGTTCGTTCAATCATTGGAAATCGAATCAATGATAAACAAATTATTCAAATATCTTTTTCTCTCGATGAACAACATCGGCGGATCTAGGATTTTTTTGATAAGGGGCGATTCGATAGATATGGGGCGATTTTGATCAGATAGTGAGTTTCGAACAAAACAACAATTTAGAAGATCAAAGAAATTCTTTTCAACGAACAAATGTTTGTGGCAAACTTTTAAAATGACTTCGATTCATTTCTACTTTGGTTAAACCAGCAGCCGATGGATTTCCAAAAAGGCAATTCTTGAAAATTCTTTTTCTTTAGAACGAAATTAAAACAGATGAAGAAATAAAAAATCAATTTGATCATTTGAATTTACTCGAAAACTTTGATCGGTATGAGGAAATTTTAAAAAGAATTATTTGAAATTTGTCAAATTCTGTTCATTCAGATTCAAATTGGCTAAAAAGTGCTTCGTAAGAAAATCCATTTATTTTATGTTTCAAACCAAAGTTCAGCATTTCTTTGACATTATCAAATCATAAACAATAATATTGTTGGAATTGTTCACGACACGAATCGACATGGAATTGAAAAGACTCATTACAATGTTATAATAATAATAATAATAATAATCAATCCTTTGATGAAAACAAAATCATATTAATCATAAGATAAGTTTGTTGATTAATTTTGGATGTTGCTTGTTTAGTAACGATGATATCTGTTGTTAAATGTCGATCGCGAATTTCTCGATATCAATCTGATCGTTGACGATACGATGATAATAAATGTTTGCTAGCTAAAGTTATCAAAAACATTTTCAATGAATTTTAATTGATCAATTTGAAGAACAAAAACTCTTTTGTTCATCTTTTCGAAACCGAATCGATTTTCAAGATTATTGATCATTTGATGTTGTTTTGAGAGTTAGACGATATCTTTTCATACAATAATGAAGTTTATTGAGGCATGTGTTTGCATATGAATTAATTTTTCTTTTAATTTTTGTTCTCTTATTACTTGTTTATGAATTTGAATAAGAACTTTCTGATTATGTCGATAAAGAATATTTAAACGAATTAAATCTTCAATTTGATAATTTGATTGAGGATGATAATCATGACTATTAGCATGAAATAAAAGTTTTCATTGTAAAAATCTATATTCTTCTATTTTGCCTTACGAAAATTTTTCTTGTGAGTAACTTTCTGATGAGGATGGTCTTGTATTTGAGAGAATAGGAATTTACTTAAACACTGAACAGTGTCCAAGGACTAAGAAATAGGAACTGTCACCACTTGGACATCCGTTAAATAAATAGTATGCGTTTCAATTAATAAAGATCGTAAATTCTATATAGTGTGGGAAAGATTTTTCATCAATTGTACAAAACTTTGAAAGCATATATGGAATAAAATAAATAGATGTTAACAGTTCAAGAAATAAGATTTGTACAGAGTTGCTAAAAATATTGAAGGTATGACGGAAGATAGTTATTTATTTTTAATCCACACCATACAGATACCCACCTGCCCATACCCATACTGACTCTCATCTACACCCGCGATCGATAGTTTATTCTATATATAAAAAAATACTTTGAGAAAGAATCACTTTTTCTCGTTTGACATACAATGACTACCTCTGCAGTTCACGGGTAATATCCTACTTCTTCGGAGTACAGCATAGTAAAAATGTTTTCTTCGTCCATTTTCTTCTTTCGCCAAGTTTTTTTTAAAGAAATGTTCGGAATCCAACATTTGCCTTATGCACCTTCCTGACCAAGTGTTCGTATGAAATTCAGTCATATAAACATTTGATGGATACACGAAAATAAGCCATGTAATAACAGTCGGAACACCTGGCAGTGCTTGTACTATAACTTTAAAAATGTATTCCACAGTAGAAATTCCACAGTGCAAATACGTCTGTTGAAAAGGTCTCACTGGATACCATATTTGATATGGAATGATACAGAGAAGATAGGTGATTGGTGGGATGAATATAAACAAATGTTTTCTCAACAGTTTGAAAAATATTTTTTTCCTTGACTTTTGAGCAGTACCATAGTGATATATACGTAGGGCAAAATTAATCAGAACGAGTAAAGTTCCTAGTACATAGATGAAACCTGCAAGAAAGGCGGCCGTATAAAACCATCGTGATGTTATACGTGACTTTGGTGTTTTATGCGGTACATTCCATTCACATCGGTAGATTAGCATTGTTATGCTAGTTACAGCAGTAAAAGAAAACACAAGTAGTAATGTAACGACTGATCGCCACCGTGTCGCATTCATTTTAAAATTAAAGCAGATGATAAGACCACGTTCAAATGCAACGAGAGCACTTAGGGAAAGACACAGAAACAATGTTACTTGATCTCCACTCTTTTTAAGAAAACAATAAAATGTTTCAGACAGTTGTGCATTATTTGCGAAAGGATATGGTTTGAAATACTGCACAGATTGATTAACTACAAGTAATACACTTCCGACAATAGATATAATTGAATAAAGAATGAGATAGACACCGATGTTGGTACGACGTACTCGTTTACAGCCTAAGAATACTTCAAGACTAAGCAGATTATTCAAAAGTGACAAACATAGTTCAGTTAAATATATAATTAGATAGACATAATCCGTGTTAAATCGTAGTTGCTGTTTGCTTGGAATCCGATCTGCACAGTTTATACCCTGGAAACATGGATCACACTGACAGTAACTTGCATTTGAAGATTGACTTAATATGAGTTGACCACCATTGAGACATTCAGAAGACATCTAGTAGCCGTACAGTGTTGTAAACAGAATTTCGAAATAAACAATGTCAGGCTAGACCTGCACAAATATTCATGCAAACTATACCTATATGATGTATAAAGTCATACTATACGACCTTAATCTATGGTGCCAAAATAATTACCGAAATGTCAAGACATGATCCTTCGCTTAGGGCCATCGTAGAGAACAAAATCTGAATTACAAATTTGTACCAACCATATTTTTTCAGAATGTATATGAGAAGAAAAAAAGCTCCAAACCAGACACTCCTAAAAAGTTCTTTTAACTTTTTTGAAGCTTAGAAAATGTGTGTTTCTAGATTATTTTAGAGTGCATGGGCTAAATTTTCATAACAAAATGCACGAAAATGTAGCGCATAAGAAACTCTATCGAAATCAGCCCTATTAAAATACTTTAAATCCATTCTAGCCTCTTTAATCGGAAAGATTTGAAAGCTGAAGTTTTCATAGAAAGGATTGCTTTTCCAAGAACTATCAGCCATTATCACGAGAAAGCATACATGAAATCGATTTTTTTTTGCCGTATTTGTTCGGAATATACGAGATTTAAGGAACTTAACAGAAAAAACCTAGTTCAATAAGTAATTTCTACCGCTTCAACACGGACAGGTAATGAGAACAACCAAATTATTCAGTCTCTTCTAGAAAAAACAATGTAGTTCTATTAAACCTAGGAGCAGATCTAACCTCTAATACATGATTGTAAACAGCGCCTTTTACGCTACAATAATTACTCTTGAAAGTGTTTTTTCATCGTTTTTTGATATTAAAAAAAGCTTTTCTTTCTTCTCATATACGTTCTGAAAAAATATGGTTGGTACAAATTTGTAGTTCAGATGTTGCTCTTACTAATGAAAAAATCGGCTCTCTACAATGTTCCTAAGCGAAGAACCATGTCTCGACATTTCGGCAATTACTTTTGCGCCGTAGGTTGTAGTTCGCTTAGTGTGCATATTCAGAAGATAAAACGAAAATTCTTTTCTGTTTCAAACGTGAGATGTACAAGGGAACAATTAGAGAAAAAATTGAAAATTAAAGAAAACTTGAAATTTTGGAAAACCGTTTTTCATTGTTAAGCCACAAATTCACTACGAAGGAAAGCTGTTGTAATAACTGAGTCTAGAGAACAATGTAGCAAATTCAATTCTACATCATTATCCTCTAACAACGTCCTTACACGACTCAATCGTTCCTGCGAGAAACATCGAACCCTCTTTTTCTACTTGAAGATCGGCTTTTACAAATCCGGATCTACTACCAGACTTCTGTAACAGACAAAGACTTTTTTTATTTTCCGAATTTTCAGGTTTTCAACGGTCTAGCATGGAATTCAAACTGGTCGATTACCAGCGGGACTAGAATGGTCCTAACATTGACATCAGTTGGGAAAAAACTCCATTGATGATAAGTCTGTAAAGGAGTGCACGATTTCGAATGATACCTCTTGTGGTCGTTTTCAGGGTTGTTTGAATAGTTGAAGTTTTCCTGGCACTCTCGATACGCTCCTACAGTCTCTTACAAGAGAATTTTTGTAAAACTCATATATTGTACTGCTATTCTCTGTCTTTCTTCACACCAAGATTGACACTTATTTACTCACCTTGAAAGTGAAACTGATAACTTATCTATACCATGCAATAAACTTTAACAGCTGTCTTCGTAAATCTTTTTCTCTGAGTGGAAGAAAGAAATAGTAGAACAAAAAAAAAATAAAAACAAATGCATTCTCACCAGGATAGTGATTCAGTATGACGTGTCAGCAGTTACCTTTTATTGCTGTTTGACTTCTTATGTTTTTTCCTTCTACATCGCATGCAATAAAAAAACGTCAATAGTGCAAATATGCACCATTCATTTTTATGAAGTCGAAGATAAGAAGTTTATAGCAGTTCATAGAGAAAAAGTCTGTGTAGAATTCGATAAACGCATTTTTTTATTAGTCTTTTATTCTGAAAACAAAAGAAACTTAACGAGTTTATGCTTGTCAATGTCAGCACCTGGAAGTAAACCAGATTTTATAACGGATTATGAATGTTACATTAACTGCCCTAAGAAGAGGACTGCTTATGAATGGCATTTAAATGATAGAAATGATTTTGCATTGAAAAAGGCCAAAAAATTTCGTTTACAATACGAAAAATTGTATGTTGCAAGACACTGGCTGGTAAGTTGAGCTTATACAATTTTTCAACGTGAATTATTCGGCTCACAAACAAAAAACAGACACATGACTTGATCAAATACATATATATGTTCTCAGAACCTGTTTTTTGATTCTAAACGTGCTTCTTCATATACTTTTCAAGGGAAAAGTAACACAATTTTACCTTTGCAGGTCAGAGGAGGAGAAACAGCAGGAGTTACCGAGTATCCCACGCTGTAAGTACCTTTCTGTTCACTATGAACGCCTGCACACACTAAGCATTAGTCAGGTAAGCATGAAGCGGACAAGTAGCTACGTAAACGGACGTAGAACATTGATGGAGTGACGGTTTCAAAATTAGAGAAAAGTGCCACGTAAAGAGAATTTTCAAAAACTAAAATATTTTATGCTACGCGATAGATCTCTGCTTCTAGCGTTTTGACTACGCCGCCATGACGTGGTCATGCAGAGATTACGTCGGACGTGTAATTCCTAGAGAAATAATGGTTGACTGCTCTACTGTCAAGAACGGACGACACAATCATTCTATAAGGCTGTGTTTTTTTACGGAACTCCTCTAGTAGTAACATAATATTAACGTATTTGAAAGAGATATAAACAGAAGAGTACACGTTCAAAGACTAGGAAAATTCTAATGTTACGCTTTCATAAAATGCGTACGATATTGACCTGCTTATTCTTAACAAAGTTGACGAAATTTTTACTAGTATAAGACTTGGAAGTAGTTCCATCTTTAGACCTTAGGATTAAAAATCTTGTTCCCGCTGACTCCTAGTGTCTGTACTCAAGCTGCATAAAATAAAAATTTACTCGTCAAAATTTGTATAACTATAATTTTTTTTCCTATTTGTTTAGTTCACATTTCTCCTACGATTAAATACAACAGTAAAAGATTTGGTTTATGCAATTCTAAAGGGTTATCTAAACGATATTAATATACATGCAAATCCGAATACTTGGGAAGACATCGTCGAAGACCTTAAAATTGCTGGTGCACAGAATGAACCAATGTATATACTTCAAGCTTATTCTCGTTCACAAACGTTCAGCAAACGAATCAATAGTGACATGGCTAAAAATACGTATCATGAACTCAAACTTTACTGTACATCCCTTAATTGTAACGTACTAGCACGTACACAAGATGGTATTCAAGCTTTCATTGCTATTCTATTCCATCCAAAATTAGATATATACTTGTGTAAAGATCTCACTATATACAGAGGCTCCGTTATTGATAGTGACAACGTGTTGGAAGGATATGAAAACGGTTCTATAATTATAACTACCACATTTCTGTCGACTTCAAAAAACCAGGCAGTTGCAGAGATGTTTGCTGCTCCTGGTTCCATAAAAACAAATCAAATATCACTTTTGTGTACATATTACATTCATAATTATCGGCATACAGCTCTAGAAATGGAAACAATTTCAACAAAGAAAGATGAAGAGGAAGTATTAATTTATCCGTATGTCCCATTCAGAATTCTGTCTTTTAATAGAAAGATAATAGAACTGACTGGAAATGAACGAATTGAAGTAGTCTTGGAACAAATCGACGGCAAGGAGAATGACAACAGTGAGAGACAATCGGCATGAATAGTTTCCACAAATGTGTAATGTAAGGCGTACTCAAAGAAGAAACAATTGATTTAAATCAGCAGAAAATCAAAATTAAATGATATAAATCACTCAAATTCATTTAAAGTCAATGATTCTAATTCATACGGCTTTCTACAATTCCAAAATAAAATTCATGTTAATATTTTCATTTGACTAATAGTTAAGAATTTTTAATATGATTCTAGGGTCATTGTTCGATCATATGTGTAAGTCAATGGACTTATCGATAGAATTCATTGTTTTCCGACGGATGCAACAAGCACTTGAATTACTTAGGGTATGGGTGCGGGTTTGGGTTTGAGTATTCATCTGCATTTCACTGGAAAGAGTAGCCACACACACACCCACGTGTCGTGGAATAAAGGGATTTATTTCATGTAAGAGTTTATAAAGAGATTCTGAGTCAGACATCATACAAAATTCGATCGATAAATGCAATGACTCGAGAAAGAGGAAAGTCTAAATCTGGATGATTGACACCTATGTACCAATGGATATTCAACTGACGAAGATTATGATGAGATAATAGTTTTTGACCAGACATTGAAGAATTAATGCGCAAAAATTTTCAAATTCAATCGAATAAAGTTCGATGTAATGGTGAGTACTCGACAGAAATCTTTTCGAGTGCACACTGGAATTGTGATAGAGTAGAAACTGAAAAGAGAATGAATTAATAAACTCGGTAGTTCTGATAATGTCTTGGTGTGTCATCGAAATCGTACCCAAAAAACATTGAAATGCGATGTATGCTGCCAGAGTTAATTCGGAGATATGTCAAATTGTTGAACTTTTTCCCAAGACAATACCTCGATGGACATTGAATGAAGTGTGTCACGAAAACAAAGAAAAGATAGATTTAGACATTAATATCATTAAAATTATCGTTCTCACCATTGATCACAAGAGAGTTCTTCTTGAGATCATACAATAGAGCATTCAAATGACGATTAAGATCGTAAAATAATTCATTGGCAAGATCTTCGAGAAGTCGAACAGCTGATTGATCAGGCATTGCTATTTGTGTAGAAACGAGAAATTTCAAATGAAACAGTTCAATCTTGCACAATCATGTTAATTGTTACTGAAATCAATGACATATTGTGAGTCAACGACTTGCTGTCTCAATTGATGATGCAAGAGCATGAAAGTGTAATGTCATCATCTAAATATGCTCTATCGGTTAATTCTACTTATAATTTACTATCATTTTTT